AGGGGCCATGCTAATCTTCTCTTGATGGATGTTAGCTGGAGTTGAACACTGGTGCTTTGGAATATTTACCTGTATCGTTTCAATAGACCAATATGGGGACGGTTTTGCCGCCCCCGACAGCTCTTGTTAATCTGCAAACTATATACCCTACCTGGTCCCCTGCAACAACAAACCAATTTCAGCGCTGCACAAACAACCACCAACCGTAACTATGCAAACAATATATGAGACTCGATAAATCGTGTTATTATCAAGTTCCACTCTTTGCAAATTCCGCATGGCGGCTCAATATGCTGTAAAACAATCGCTGGGGCACTCACACTCTGCCTTGTGAAGTGGAAACCACTCAACACATTACCCAGTCTCGAGCGACAAACTTCGTCTACTCACCACTCAAGATCAAGTGAGAATTCAACTCAACTCGTTTGTCATTGTCGGTCGTCTTGACGTGCACTCCAAGTCAGATTTCGCAACAAAGAGTGCGCAACGCAGGCAAGGTGAGAACGCCAAACACCACAAACCAGCATTTCAGTTGGAGGATGTTTGAGGATAAAGAAAATTCGCAGCAAGAGTGCAAAAACCTGCAGCCAGTGGTCTCATTGCGTGTGCCCTAGTAGGAAAATGACTCTTTGTTGTAAGATGCCCGGGCGGGGCCGTCAACCACTATTAACAGACAGCCCCTCCTCGGGGGGCAAGAAAACAGNNATCTAGGATCAAGGTCCTGTGTATCCTCCCCTCCAAGAAACTTCATTGGGTTCCATTGAGAGTTCGACGAATTCCCATCCGACGTCAAATATCCTCCCGGGGCATGCACACATAGTCTAAGACTTAGGACTAAATTATGGGACGGAAATAAAGTAATCAAAGGTGGCCTAAGTTTATACTAAAGCATCCTAAGCTCTATAATAAAATGTCCTAAGCTTACAATACACCCCGTGTTTTCTGCGTTGGAGGGGCATTAGGCCAGAAGCCGAGGGCATTGCATTTCCACCGGCTGTGGTTCATCAAGAACGAGGCGCTGATTGTGAAAGTCGAAGTCAATGCTCAGGAGCCTGATGCGATAAGGAGCCCAAACGGCTTGGGTGAGGTTGTCCTCCGGTTTCCATCGCCAGTTCAACAGAGTCGCAAGTGTTTTCATGCAGTGGAGCCAGCGAAGGTCGATATGATTGAGTTCGTTACCCAATTCTTCGACTTTCAACGACTTGTACAGCGACAAAATAGGATAAAGGCGAGTAGAGGCGCTGAGGTAGCTGGTATGCCAATTCCCTCCTTCGTCTATGAACTCGATACGTATCCCAACGCGCAATGCTTGGCCCCCAGAGTCAAAAGGGCATACTTGTGGGTGCTGAATATAGGCGTGAGGATGCTCGACGTGTGGGTCAACTGTGATCTCGACGATGAGGTAGACAGCGGTTGTATAATTAGGAGGAGCACTTCTTCGTGGAACATTTGCCTCAAAAAGACTGATTATTGAATCCTCACTCCACTGAGTATAGAACAACTGGACACGCGGGTCTCTGCGGCTTTGTCCTCGAGTCATCTCATACCTCAGGTGGCGTTGTGTTCGGAAGCTCCAGATGGCGGGGGATCCGATAGTTGGGGGGGCTTTTGTTCTTATCCAGGTATTTCTCGCATCCGAGAAGTCCAGGTTGCGAATGCAGTGAACGAAGCAGTCGAAATTCTTGAACGTGCTTGTGAATTGTAGTCGCGGTGGGTATAACACGTCTTGCATCAAACTCACCCTGTCAGGCCCTGTGAGGAAAGCTCCAAGTTGAATGTTCTCTCGGGGCACTTGGCACAGTCCAGCGTGGCCTTCAAGGAGAGCCGTTCCGTATCCTGTCTCGATGCCTTTGTCGGTTTCTCGAAGTAGCTGCACGATTGGGTAGTCGATTAATCCGCCGTCGTCCAAGGAGTTGTTTCCACCAGTGTAAATGATGCCAAAATCTCCAACTTTGAGAGGGACAAGCCACGACACGTCAGGGGCCTCAAGATAAGCAGCTGTCTCTCCGTTAAGTGCGCTGGTAACCTTGAACGTACTCTAATGAAGCAAGGCTTGCGCATCGAGGGACTCTTGAGAATCGAGGAATTTTGGTTCCCACCAAAGCTCAGGTGGTGGTTGCTGTTGCCCCTGATCCTGATCCTGAGCCGAAGACGACATGTTGCCTGGAGAGGATGAAGAGAGAAATGAAAGTCTGTCATGAGGGAAAAATCGACTTATGACGGATGGCAAGACCCTGGAAGTCGCGCCTGTGAGCATGACCCTCACATAAATCTGGGATGAAATCTTAATAAACTCCTCATAGGACGCCTTAAATTCTCAAACCTTCTCTTATATTATACTAACTCATCATAAATTTTGCAGTTCTTCTAAATATATCCTAAGCCTTATGATACTCTCATCATAAATTTTACAATTGTTCTAAGCCTTACCTAGGTTATGGTTGATGAACTTATCGTTGGCTAAACCTAAGGGAGGTACCTATAGTAGCATAGGTATGCCTTGGGTTCCTAACCCCATGATGTGCTCTTGCCGAAACTGCGGCCAGGCATTCAAACGCCTTCACATAAGGTAGCCTTAACCTCGACGATACAGATACAGGGTTGGCACAGTCCCAGTATGCATTGAGAAGCTCGACGTCGAGAGATAGAAAATTTCTGAAGGCCAAGCCGCTCTATGTGCAAGTTATCCTCTCACGGAGTCAAGATCAAGGTAGTCTATTACATTACAATGTATAATTTTCATCCAAGCACTTCACAGACTGGCATAGCAATCGCGCAAGATGGCATTAGACATCTATCTCGTTCTAATCACAAGCCATGCAACACCGGCGATGCTAGATACACAAAAAGGAAAAAACACAACTAGTAAAAAGCGCACGTTCCTAAAAAGCCACCGCAAGAAACTTTAATCATACCAAGATCGGCCCATCCAAAGAACCTCCTTTTTACAGAAGGACCATACCGGCACCGACAATACCGGCGACGGCCATGTAGGCGCCGACGGCAAAGTCACCGAGGGAGAAGACGCGGGCGATGGAGGCAGTCTGGAGACCAAAGTTCTCGTCGTCCTCGCTGCTGCTGTTGGTTCCACCGGTGGATTCGGAGGCGACGGCGTGGGTGGCAGTGGCAACCTCCTCGTTGATCTTGCTGGCGGAGGCGAGAGCAGACGAGCAAGAGGACTGGCTCTCGGCCTTCTGGGTGGTGGCCTTGCCGTTGAAGTCGCAAGCACTGGCAGCGGACTTCTGGGAGACGTAGTAGGCGTCGAGGATGTAAGCAAGCTTGGCCTCGTCGGAGCACATGCTGTAGGCACCATAGATACCGGCAGTGGCGTTGGCGTTGATGGCAGTGCAGATCTTCTTGTCCTCGCCGCAGATGTAACCAAAGATATCGTTAAAGTCCTTAGCCTTCAGGTTATCAGCAGGGACACAGCTTCGGCTCTTGACCATGCAGTCGCAGAGGTCGGAGTCAGGGACAGGGGGAAGGACGCTGTTGGCCTTCCAGTTCTTGGACTGCTCAGGGCAGGTGGCAGCCTTGCCAGTGGGCTTGTAGCTATCCTCCTCGACACCGGTAGGCTTGGCAGCGTTGACCTTGCTTTGGAGTGCGGAAAAGTCCTTGAGCTTGACAGCATCATCGTTCTTGTTGATCTTGACGAGACCGTAGTCGTTGGCCTCCTGGAAGTACATGTAGACGATACCACCGCTGAAGACTTCAGTCATGACCTTCTCGTCGTAAAGAGCGGTGGTCTCATCGAAAATACGGCCAGCAGCACCATCGGGCTCGTTGCAACCATACTCAGCAAAGAAGACGGGGACAGAGTAGTTCTCGAAGAACTTGGCCTGGTCAGTGTAACCAGAGTCCTCCATACTGCTCTTACCGCACCAAGAGTAGATGTTGTAACCCCAGTAGTCGATGCGGGAGTCGTCCTCACCGCAGTTGAAGTAGTCGGCAATCTGCTCACGAATATCCACATCATCGTTGGAGGCGTAACCGACACCGAGCCAGCGGGAGAACTTGCTCTTGATGTGCTTCTTTGTGTCACGGACGGCGGCCTTGACGAAAGCAGAAGCCTGTGTGTTGGAGACGTTGTTGGAGACCTCGTTACCGGCAAAGAAACCGACGACGTTGTCGTACTGACCAAGCTCATCGACGACTCCGATGTAGCGCTCATACAGCTCAACATCCCACTTGGGGTCATCACGGTTGATCGAGACGCTGGGCTCAGAAAGATCAGAGATGACGTAGATTCCAGCATCGTCGAGCAGCTTCATGCAGGCCTTGTGGTCGGCCGTGGGGTCGATGGCGTAAGTTCGGATGATGTTGGTACCGAGCTGCTTGAGGAGAGGGATATCACGCTTGCAAGCTGCCTCATCGGCGAGAGGATCGATGTACTTGGTCTCCTTGGTGTTGGTCTGACCAGCGGCAGCAGTATCCTGTTGGTAAGCAACACCCTTCATGAAGAACTGAGTTCCGTTGGAGTAGAAGAGCTTGGATCCCTTGGAATTGTCAATATCAAATCGCGATACCCTGACGTCCGGCGCATACCTTCATGGTGATGGGCTCCAGCTTGGCGCTGGCAGCCGTGGCCGCGGCAGCGACAATGGCAGCGGAAAACTTCATTGTGTTGTGTATCAAACGGCAAGTAAAAAGAACAGAGAGTAATGAATGACTAGAATGAGGCGATGATTTTATTCAACGCCTAAATTGTTGTTGGAATGCTGAAACCCCTTTTTCCTAGAGTTCGCGACGAATGAGCCGGAAGAGAGGCAATCGGATCGAGTAGCAAGAGCGTTTGTAAATGAGTGTCGGGAAAAGTTAAAATTCGGCCTCAAAGTAACGAGAACCGATAGGAAAAAACGGCGATGAAGAATTAGAGGTTAGCGAAGGTTTGATGAAGGAAGAGAGAAAGAAGATGGAATTCGAGGGATGGGGCGATTTGAAAAGTAAATGGAAAATGGAATGCATGGGGTGGCTAGCACTGACACTAAAGCAGTCTAGCTACGGGACCATCCCTGGGCTTCTGGAGTGGCC